AGGCATCCCCTCCGAAGGAAGTAGTCTTTAAAATTTTATTTCTTGAGGCTCCTACAGCTCAATTTGGTCGAAAGATGAATTTTGACCTCGAGAAACAGGAGACACTGAGGTCGCGAGATACCCTCGAGGCCTTAGAGTTTGCCTACATTTGGCCTCCAGAGTTTATTTAAAAAAACAAAAACAAAAAAAACAAAAAAGCTTTTTAATAATTTTTTTTTTTTTCTGTGAGTACCGATACTGAAGAGTGCAGTCACTGCTAGCATGGTTTTTTTGGTGCTATTGCCTGTTGTCCTAAGACACAAGCAGTTTTTTCCACCATTGTTTTTTTTTATACCTGAAGTGCAAATGGCAATGCGGAGAGGGCAATCAAATCATGGTATTATTATGAAAATTGACTATGCAGACTTCTTTGAAAAGGTCTGGGGGATCCAGAACATAGAACATGGACCATGCTTCTGTAAACCTCTGCTTTAAGTTAATGAACAGGTAGAAATCTTTAGGCTTTATGTTAGGTTGATTAAGACTTGTCTTCAAATTCCTTGATTCAAAATTTGGCTTTACTTGAATCAATTGTATGACAATAGAGCAAGTAATTCTAACCTCTCTATGCCCAATTTCTTTATGGCTAGAAGGCGCATAGTAATAGTATCCCATAGGTTGTTTTGAGGTTTAAATTAGTTATAGCAAAGAAAGTAAAACACTTTGAATACCCGGCATATAGTAAAACTGTTAGCTGTTTGCCCCTGTTATTATTTTTATGAAAACATATTCTTTTTTTTAAACAACATACTCTTTTTCTTATACAAAAAGCTGAAAGACTTATAGGTAAGTCTTAGCTTCTTCATATTCTCCTAAATCTTAGCTTCTTTTCCTATTCTCAAAAGTTTGACACTGTTTTTGTTTTTACTTTTATTCAATAGTTGCTGGTATGACATGAATATTTAGTTGGCTTAGTATAGTTTTATGTAGAGAGATGCTTCTGCTCTAAGTTATAAGAATTTATTCTGAATTTAAATGGATTGCATTCTAAAATTTTGTTTATTTGTGCTCATTTTTATTTCAGGGGAAAGATTTACCAAACAAATTCCTGAATTAGTGTGGAATCTCTGGCTGTCTGCCAGGGCAAATTAGTAGTCTTGAGCATAATCTTAAAGAATGCTGTTCAATTTGTATGTTCTTATTTCCCACAACCTATTTGTATGTTTTATTTCCTGAGCCCTGTTGAAAACGTAAGAATAAACACATGAATATACCTATGTTTCCAAAATTCTTTTTACTTGCCTTTGATAGAATGGAAGTGTAATAATTAACAGGCAGTGGAGCTATTTTGGGTTGTGTTAACTTTTGCCATTCTGTTACAAGAAAGCCTGAGATAATGGTGTCTGTCAGGTGGATGCTGGGTCCTGAAATCACAGCCGAAACAGTTGTTGCTGAGAGTGTGGCATGATCCTGAGAGAATTGCTAAAGATTCAGAATAGTCTTGGGGGGAAATGGAAAGAAGATGATTGAGGACAGTAAAAGAGCCCAAATATCTTCAAGATGATGTAGTTTTTCTTTTTTTCTTCAGCCTTTTCTTCCTCCTCTTCCTCCCATCTTTGCCTTCTCGCCTTTCCTTCTCTTGCTTTCTTCCCTCCTTCCATCTTTCTCCTTTCTCCCCTTCTCAAGCTTCCTCCTCCCCTAATTTTTTTTCTTTTTTTCCTTTTCAGTGGGAGGAACAGGGAAGAATTACTGTACTGCTATAGGTTACAGTTTTGCTGGGTAGATACTATGGGAAAATTATTGG